CATCATCATCATCATCATCATCATCATCATCATCATCATCATCATCAGCCATGCTAAACTGAATGTTTGCAAACCCTAGGGCGGAACAAGTGTTATGCGTGTTAGGGGTCAAATCTTCTTATCCTTTTGGAAGAGGTTCGTAAAGCGACCAGCCAGTGCCGTCTAAATCGACAGAACAACTAGATTATGACACAATAAATATACCGTTGGTATTGTAGCAACAGCACGCTACATATACCCTCAACGTTTGGAAATTTGCCGTTGTTCTTTTCTGATCGATGATCCCTACTAAGCCAGAAATGACCTTTCCAGTCTTTTTGGTTTTTTGGAGTAAGCTCAGTCTGCCTTGACGTACGCAAATGGTAGTAATAACGCCTCGATACAACATTGAATAATTGTGCACTAAAGGCTTTTTAGAAGTCGAAGATGCGATCGCTGGAACAAGAAGTTTATTTGGCCGGCGTTTTTAATTCTTTCGCGGATCCTTCATCGGGCGGTAACCGTAAAATAGGCTAGTATATGCACATAGCACACAGTATTTATAATTCCTAGTGGTCACGCCACCACATGCGCGCAATAATTATTAGCTCCCATAACCACCGCTGGGGGACGTAATTGGTGCGGTGATAGCTTGGTAGTCCGCGTCCGAGTCATTACTTCCGGTCGCTTGGCTACTACGAACTATAAATACTGCGTGATCTGCGCATACATCATCCTAATCTGTACATGTATCACTTCATTCTCTTCATTATCTCTGATGAAGGGTTTTCGACAGAGCCCGAAACTTTAGGCAAATAAATTTTCTGTTTTAGCAATCGCATCTTCCACTTCTGAACTGCTTCCTGGAACTCGCATATTCGCCTTTGGAGGCTGCTTGTTCCAACTGGCAGTCCTAGATACCGAGGTGAAGACATTACCCAAGGCCGCAAAACCCACCTACCAAGGACGCTTGGCTCGGAGTCAATCAGAATGGTTCGAGGCGCGGCCTTGTTTGCTGGCGTCTCAGTGAAAAAGGTGGAGAGTTCGAAGATCTCCTGTTCGCTCTGTACTTGAACCTTCAAGTCGCCATTGTGATCCACATTGTGCTCCATAGAATATAGCTCCCAACAAGCGTCACCAATTTGGCATCCAGCCTGGCCCACAAATATCTGGACGATTTCTCTGAACTGATGAAAGCAAAAAAAAACAGTTCAAACGGGTAAAAAGATTTGAAAGCTGTAAAATTGTTTGAAAAAATATCTAGAGTCAACTGGGAAGCCAATTTCCAGGCAAAACGTGTAAGAGCCTTCTGAATTCATATTAGCTCCAAGCATTTCAGTAGGACAAAGGTGGTTTTATGTTTTGAGGTTCCCACGGAACGTGAATGAAGGTGAGCAGTCAATATCAATATAAAGGAAGGAGTTTTGTAGGTTAAAACTTTAGGGACCAATTCCTTCGCCTGGCTCCTTCGTTTAACACACAAGAATTATTTCATTAGTAAATGAGGACAGACATTTTTCCGGCATACGAGGTTTTGTTTGAATCCACCGATATATCCTGATAACAGGACGAAAGACAAGTCAGAGCACCTGCACAGTGTCGAATGAAATAAGAAGTTAGACAGTATTGAAGTAAAAAAATAAAGGACACGTGTATGAGCAACTATGTTGTCCTTTAAATTACCCTTTGTTAGGCGTGGGTTAATAAACGCAGTAGGCGAAATGTCTCCTGCATTGAGTAAGTGCTGAAATCTGCCTTAGATTTGAAAGGATTACTGAGCTTAGATTAACTAATTGATCATAATGCTGGTTAATCCTTATAAACTTCAGTCACGCCAGAACGCCGCCTTTCGAAGATTATTTCTTTCGCTCGTCCGCAGCAATTGAATGCGACAAAAAGTATCGAATTGAAGAACATGATTTGTTCCGTCGATTGGCGATGTCTTCCAAATATCTTTTATAGAAAAAGGTCCGAAAAGATATCCTGTCTTCTACTAAGTTGGCGGCAAGAAAACATTTTTCTGAAATGTTATACTGCAAAAAAGAAAAATTTTTGATTCGAAGAAGATTGTTAAATATTGGATAACCATGAACCAGACATATCAAAACAGTTGCATTTAGGATTTGAAACTATGAGCTGTTTGAGTTCATATCCAAGACGTCATATATACTGCTATCTTCTGAAGGGAAAACCACTTATCTCATTTAGAATAGTGGCGCTGTTTTAGGTCATGCTGCTTACGTCAACAGGAGTAGTAATGTACGTACAGGTACGACGGCGTTTACGTATGACTTTTGCGCTCTTCGGAGAAGTGATGAAAACAAACAGATCTTGTAATAGATAGCAATATTTATTCTTGAGGCAAAAAGTGTAAAATATGTTACTTATTACCAAATGAGTATAAACACAAATAAGTATATACAAATGAGTATATGCACACTTGAGTATATACACACTTTTCACACACGAGACATGCCTTCTAGATAGTCAAGTTTTAATGAGTGTGCTTCCTACCATCGGTCAGGCAGAATTATGTTGTTATGCATATATCTTGGAATTGCACAATAATCGTAAGCTCCCTTTAGGAAACTCGAGTACCGTCAAATACTTCAACTACGTATTAATAACAAATAATAACGGCAGTACTAAAACTAATCACAGTATACCATAACAGTACTGTCTGTTATGACGCCGTGCAAGTGCCGGAAATGATTTTGGCTTTTAGACAATTTGGACATAGTACATCAGTGATTTAGATAAATAAATAGTATGCAGTGCAATAAAACATAGTCAACCTTGCTGATCGGTTTAATTTATCATAAAACTATATATATTGACGAGATATTTGATGGTAGGTGCTATTGATTTTCTGTAATTAGTAGCGCATTCTAAATAATCAGCAATCAGTAACGGGATTAAAAATTAGCTCACGTTAAGCAGTTCTTTGCAATTTCACTTTAATCTTTATCCGAGAGTTAAGGACAACGAAGTTTGGAAAAACTAATTAACTGATCTCTAGCTGGCGCCGACTTTGGGAACATACTGGCTCGAATTGTACCATACAATAGGGAGCAATAAACAGCAACTGTTATTTAAATCGGGACTATGAGTCGTAAACTAGCCACTAGGTCGGAATTACTGGTTTAAATAATCACGGACCGACATGTCGACCCTTGCTGCCAGCAATGTCTAACTTGTGCCCACAGGAAGGTGGGCGCAGGGACGATAACTTGCGCGTGAATAAGTTTATACTGATTTGTTTGACATGAATTCGCTTTCGCCCTCCTGGGATCAGTGTCGTGACCAAGTCTATATTTTTGGTGGACAGATTGGCCGCTGGTGGGGCGTAGGCTTGCACCCTGGCCAGCCGCCAGCTCCGTCCCATCTGTGAAACTTGCTATAGAGTGCCAAATCCCGAAATCTAGCACATGAGAGGC